AAAAGAATTTTGAACAATGTCTAAAGACACGTCTACTCTAGATAGCTTGAAAATGATTCACGAAATAGGAAAGCTAAAATTCTCAGAAGGTGTTCAAACTGAGCTCTTGCGTATGAAATGCCGTAAATGTGACAGATGTGTATCTTTAGATGAATATGTCATTTAAGAAATGGATTCGAAGAGAATTGGCGGCGGGGGTCTCCCGAGGCCAGGAGAGTTAAGAAGGGCGTGGAGCCCCTCCTGGGCCTGGCCGGGTGTGAGGAGAGGGAGGACTCCTGTACAATCTCAGCCTCACCACCTCAGAACTTTCCAGCCCCTGAGACCTCAGGGCCTTGAAGCCAGGCTCTTCCCAGTGCCCTCTGCTTTTCCCTCATAAGCGTTTTCTGGGAGAGAGGGTTCCTGGGGCACCGTCTGACCTCTTAACATGGAAAGCTTTCACTCTGAGTGGGATAGTGCTTCCTGAGTGCCCTGCTTTTATGGGGCACATTTTTAGCCGGCTAAGAGTAGGATCTGATGGCAGAGGTCACTGCTACTTCACATTTTGACAGATAACTCCTTGTGCTGTATCAGATGCTGTAGGCTGATACAAAATGGCTGCCGCCCTCAAAGTCAGATGAAAGAGCCCCTGAGGCCAGCATTAGAGACGCTTGAGAGATGATTTCCCTCTTTCAATGTCGGAGTGCTTATATGGAAGAGAGCTATCTCTAGATAAAAACTCCTCACCACCGGTGAGGCAGAGCCTTGAGGGCCGCCCTAGGCCCTGGCCCTGGCCGTAATGGCCGGATGGTGCTGAGGGGAATTGGCTAGATCAATTGTTTTGCACATTTTATTTATTTATTATTATTACTTTTGAGATGGAGTCACACTCTGTCGACCGGGCTGGAGTGCAATGGTGTGATCTTGACTCACTGCAGCTTCCGCCTCCCAGGTTCAAGAGATTCTCCTGCCTCAGCCTCTCAAGTAGCTGGGATTACAGGTGTCTGTCACCATGCCTAGCTAATTTTTGCATTTTTAGTAGAGACGGGGTTACACTATGTTAGCCAGGCTGGTCTCAAACCCCTGACCTCAAGTGATCTGCCCTTCTTGACCTCCCAAAGTGCTGGGATTACAGACGTGAGCCACCACCGGGCCAGTCTTGCACATTTTAGACACTCAGTAAATATTTGTTGAATCAAATAACTTTGATGGGCTGGGCGAGTTGGCCCACACCTGTAATCCCAGCCCTTTGGGAGGCCCAGGCAGGAGGATGGCTTGAGCCTAGGAGTTTGAGACCAGCCTGGGCAACATAGTGAAACCCCCATCTCTACAAAAAATGCAAAAGTTAGCTGGGCATGGTAGTGTGTGCCTGTGGTCCCAGCGACTTGAGAGGCTGAGGTGGGAGGATTGCTTGAGCCTGGGAGACGGAGGCTGCAGTGAGCCCTGATTGTGCCGCTGCACCGCGCACTATTGTGGGCGAGAGCGAGGCCCTGTCTCAAAATAACTGTGATGAAGGTGGGGAATCAGAGATAGACGGGCAGGGGTCTGGGTTTGCACAGCTCTGAGGTTGAGCTCCGTTCTGTACCTTTGCGGGGATGGGGGGATGAGGGGAGGAGGGTGGGCACGGTTCCCTCGATGTGGGTGTCTGAGGCGAAGAAGAGGATGGCGGAGGTTGCAGCCACCAACCACAAGAGTTCCTTAGAGGGGTCACAGTCTCCAGGAAGTTTCTAGGAAGCCAGTCAGCAGTAGAGAGGGTGAACGTGGTGGGGCGCATCCCGTGGCTGCGCTTAAGTGGGCTGCTTGGGGGTTAAGGGGAGAAGATAAAAGTGTCTGCAGGACCACAGACTTTTGCTGTGGCGGAGCTGGGCTCTCTTCCTCTCCCAAGTCTCGCTCCTCGTCCCCTCCCTGGGGGGCCAGGGGTGAGGGTGGCGGGAACCTCAAGGCTCTGCGAGAGTGCGTGGAGCGTGTTGCCATTTTGGTCTCGTCTCTTCCTCGGTCTCTCTTTGCCTCACTTTGGGTCTACGCTCTGTGCGTCTGTCTTGCTTCTTGGCATGTCTTCTTTTCCTCTTTTTTGTACTACCCTGCACTTCGCATGTGGTTGTGGATTGTGTGTGTGTGTAGCTGTTGCTTTAACAAGCTGCTCCAGGTCTCTCCCTCCCACATCTAGTCCTCCCCTCCTCCCTGGAGGCCTCTGTGCATTCTGGGGAAATCTGTCCATTTCCCTTTGTCCACAGTGTCCCTCCCACCCTGCAGCCAGCTCCCTCACATCCACCCTGGGCTGCAGGCGTGCTCAGCAGGCTCCCCGAAGATCAAAGCTTGTCCAGGGCCCGCACTGCTGCCAAAGGCCAGAAGGCCTGTGTGCAGGCCGGAAGAAGCTAGAGCTTAGTGGCAACTGGAGAGGGGAAGATGAAAAAGGAGAAGAGGCGAGGGGCATTCCAGGGGAGCCCGGGAGAGCCAGCACGGCCTCCCGGTACATGAAGCAAAGAAGACAGACACAGGCACCGGGAGCTGCAGGCTGGGGGCATAAGCTGGGGGCTGGGAAGCACAGATACAGAAATGCACAGATGTGAGCTGAGAAGCAAGGGGGAAGAGAGAGAGAGAGAGAGAGAGGGAGAGAGAGACGTGCCAGCGCTTTGAGGGTCCAGACAGCCCTCCCTGCCTCTCCGAGTGCTGGTACACTGGTACACAGGATGCTACTGTACTAGGGTAAGGCACCTCTGGGGACGCTGAGGTGTGGGAATCAAAGGCCAGCTCTTTGGGGTGGCAGCGGAAGCCCAAAGCAGCAAAGTAAGCATGCTGGAAACCCACAGCCTCCTCCACTTAGCGGAGCCTTGCTGTGAGATGAGGCAGCACAGGGAGCTGGAGGCAGGGAGGTGGCTCTCTGCACAGACCTCAGGACCATGGAGCAGAGGGAGTCAAAACAGCCACCATATGGGGAAGGGTCAAGAATGCCTCTAGTCTTCCCAGGCATTTTACCAGGGTAAGCTAAATTTGGGGATATCCTATATGGAGACTTCCTCCCCTTCACACCCTGCTCACCAAGTCTGGGATAGGGGACAGTGGGAACTACTCTTGGGTATGAGGCTCCCCCTATTCCACCCTTCTCACTGCCGCTTTTCCCTAAATGCTTCCTGTGCCGCATGCTAACCTAATCACCACCTTGACTGGTGGCTAGTCTCCCTTCCTCTTTTCTCAGAAACCTCCTTGCTGACCTCTTTTCTTCCTACTTCCCTAGTGTTTTTTTGTTTGTTTCTGTTTGAGATGGAGTCTTGCTCTGTTGCCCAGGCTGGAGTGCAGTGGCGCGATCTTGGCTCACTGCAACCTCCGCCTCCCGGGTTCAAGCGATTCTCCTGACTCAGCCTCCTGAATAGCAGCTGGGACTCCAAGCACCCGCGACCACACCCGGCTAATTTTTGTATTTTTAGTAGAGACAAGGTTTCACCATGTTGGTCTGGCTGGTCTCAAACTCCTAACCTCAGATGATCTGCCTGCCTCAGCCTCCCAAAGTGTGAGCCGCTATGCCCGGCCCCTACTTTCTTAGATTTTTTTTTTTTTTTTAGACAGAATAGATGGAGTCTCGCTGTGTTGCCAGGCTGGAGTGCAGTGGCGTGATCTCGGCTCACTGCTGCCTCCGCCTCCTGGGTTCAAGCGATTCTCCTGCTTCAGCCTCTCGAGTAGGACTGTAGGCGCCTGCCACCACACCTAGCTAAGTTTTGTATTTTTAGTAGAGATGGGATTTCACCATGTTGGCCAGAGTGATCTCAATCTCTTGACTTTGTGATCTGCCTGCCTCGGCCTCCCAAAGTGCTGGGATTATTGGAGGGAGCCACTGGGCCCGGCCTTTTTGTTTTTGTTTTGTTTTAGACAGAGTCTTGTTCTGTCACCCAGGCTGGAGTGCAGTGGCGCAATCTCGGCTCACTGCAGCTTCCGCCTCCTGGGTTCTAAGCGAGTCTCCTGCCTC